TTATAATGTATAATGAAGGGAAAGTGAGTGTAAAAAAGCCTTAGTCCCGGTGCTGGTTTCTGTTTGTAAATCCCTTAAGCTCACCACGTAAGACTGTATATAAAGAAGCATGATTTAGATTTTTTTTTTTTTTAACATATATAAATCTTTGGTAGAATCCATGCCCAAAATTATAGATGAAAAATTTATTGCATGAACACAACCCAGCCATATAAATTTTTTATTACAAATAGGACTCTGAAACTTGAATAAAATATGTCAGTTTATTATACAATATTTCCCCCCCCTAAAACATGATATGAATGGAAAATTTAACTTGTGCACTTCTGCGGTGCTTCTGTGAGGTGCTGGGCTGGCAGCGGAGGAGAGGGAGCCCACTTTATTTAGCTGCAGAGCAGGCTCAGCATGGGCAGTGGCAGCACAGCCTTGCTCATCTGGCATCACTGGTAATTTTTTTTCTCCACTATGCAGAGATCACCTTTACTGTTTAGAGGATAGATGCATCTGCACCTGAATTAGCATGCTGGCTGCTAGTGAGGGCTCAGTTTCTAGTGGGGGCTGACTCTGCATAGGTAAAAAATAATCTTGACACCCGTTAATTCCGTTTGCGCAGACCAGCAGACAATAAGGCTGGTCCCTGTAGGTCACTGCCACCCCGGGCTGGATTCAGCATGCCCTGGAAAACACGGCGTGTCGAGAAAGTGCGAGTGCCCAAGAAAGCATCCCGTTTCTCCAAAGTCGGGTAGCCATGAAGTGGTTTAGCACTGGGAAGTGCCATGACACTCGAAGCGGGCTTTTTTGGTGGAGGAGTGTAACAACTCTTCACTGTCTGTGTCACGGTCTACAAAAAAGAACAACATTGCCAGTCTGTTGACATTGGTCCTGTCCACGGGCCAGACTTTCCTGGGAAGGTTTTATTCTTTCCAAACAATGGAGCGGTCCCTTCCAGCGCTGCGAGCCCTGCTTCCACGCAGCCGTCGTGCACTCCTGCTGCAGCTGAAAAGGAAAATTGCATATTGAAAAGTCCAGAGCTTCCATCCTGGAGCTGAAGGTCCCTGCCTGCTTACAGTTTGAGATCAGGCAGTCCTGGGTCTTGGGCATAACCACCTCAGTCGTGCTGGGGTAGCATATGCTTAAGAAACAGGTCCAAAGAGGAACAGAGAATAGAAACGCAATAGGAAATGCTACTTTGGAAAAACTAGCCTGTTTTGTTGTTTTTTTTATTTCTTTATCCCTTAATCATAGTTGATTCTTGGAAATAGAGAGTAAAATAGCTTCGATATGCTTTTTATCCCGTTTCCCCATGATTACGGTTGATACCAGATCCCCTTGACCTTCTCTTGTCCAGCAACCTTGACTCCAGTGTACATACTCACGCTAACTCCGGCTAGTTCAGGGTTAAAAATTCCAGCCACTAACTTTTCTTTAACTAAAAAAGCCCCCAAATAAAACCATTGTGCTATTCAAGGTTAGGCTTCCTTAAATATAAAACTAGATTCCTTGGTGATTTTTTTTTTTTTTTTTAAATCAGCAATCTTAATAGTGGTTCCTCACTATAATATTTCCAACTCCATCTGAAATCATTTAAATCCTCTCCTTAATAGCATGCACTTTATTGTAATATACAGATTCTTTGGCTTCCTACCAGCCTTAGCTTAAGGCACCAATGAAACTCGTTGCCGCAGGGGGCCGTGGATTCAAGAGGGGCTCGCATCTACTGTATATTTTGTTTTGTATGTTTTCCAATGGCTCTAATTATTGCAGGTGGTAGAATTTAACTGGCAGTGTTGTTGCTAAAGAAAATAGGCATAAAGTGTATACTGTTTTGCAGAGTGGCTATCAAATATATAGAAAAGAGAAAATCAAATGAATTGTTAAACTGCTCTATAGTAAGTGATTTTATTGATTTAATGCAAATGCTTATGAAAACGATCTTCCATTTATATCAATTATGTATGGGCAAAAATTAATTTATTCCTCTGGTCACCTGTTTGGCTAACTGACTCAGCAGGACAGACATTCCCCTTCCCGTTGTAGCCGAGCCCGCAAAACACTAAACATTCAGAAAACTGGATTTTTAAAGTTTCCATGTGCAAAACAACAAAAAAGCCCCGACAGGAGTTACTGCCAACTGCTGAAAAAGCAGAGAGTGAGCGGTGGAGGCTGAGCAAGACTCTCTCGTCCTAGGCAAGACTGTAAAATACAACGGCTCTGATTTTGCCAATCCCTTAACCATGTGGCGGCACATTTATATGTACCGGATCATCTGCGGCATCTGAATAAAATCAGGGAAGCAAAATTCTGCATATAAACATTTTGGCTAAGTGCCTTAACTCAGTCTTCTTATCTGGGGTTTCCACAAGATGCCACCTTGCATAACAATGCTGAGCATACGCTTGCCCAATACATGTTTTCGGTAGCCTCCTGTGATCTCTACCGCAGTATAGATTGGTTTTAATTCTACCTTGTCCTGCATTTTATTGCCCTGTGCCTCTCCATGAAGAGTAGTACTTAAAGCTTTTGTTGTCTTTTTTTAGAAATTAATATTTAATTTCATCAGAAGGGGTGGGTTACAGGAAAACAGAATTAGGAAAAATGTCACAGTAGCCAGAGTAATAAAAGAAGAAAGTTACGATTCAGTATGCAAACAAATGTCCTACAGCCAGTAGAGTCTCTCTTGTGCCACTAGCTTTGGTGTTGGAAAAACAGCACTCAACGCAAACAAAAGTACTTTGTTTCTCAAAATCCAGGAGCAGCTCCTGCTCTGTGAGCTGCCCACCGGCTGCCGGGCTGTGCTGGGGAGCGAGGGTGCCAGGCTGGGGGCTGAGAGCGCCAGTGCGGAGCCCAGCTCCTGCGGCTGCCACTGAGCACTCGTCCCTCTCGCTGCTTTGCTGGATTGTTTAAAATTTTGAAAGGAAAACATGCTTTGAGTCCCATATTTCTGCAGTAACTTTTTCAAATATATGAATTTTTGTGGAATTCTGACACTACTTTAAACGTAAAGTCTAAACGCTGATTGAACCATGGCTTGCTGGAGGAAAAGAAAAACCTAAAAAATAAGCAAAAGCCTAATGCTTGCCCTGTGAAATGAAATCCGTTGAATGTTGACTTTGAATGTTAACTAAATATTTTACATTCCTAGTATTTTACCTTTGTTTCTACCTTTGCAGTATCAGAAACATGAAACTTCTTGCCAAAATCTAGTGTCCAGAATATAACAGCACTGTGCATATCACCCGGTAGTCTATCTACTGTCACTGATTTGAGCTTCAGTTAAAGAGAACTCAGAAGATCAATATTTAAAACAAAATTGTAGAAGTGAGAATAATTTTTTTCACTGAGTTTCATTGGAGAAATTATTAAAAATAATAAATACAAAAGAGAGGAAATGGATTCTGGGCACACTGGGAAACATCACTTTTTAGGAGAATTTCACTGATTTTAAATAGAAGTATCAGGACTGAAGCTTTCTTTGCTAAAGATTCTGAATGTCTGTATTCTGAAATTTATCAAAATTTGTTTTGTGAACACTTTTTTTTACTTGTAGTTTTTAATTTATACAAGATTGTCCTCTAAGCTTCTGAATGATACCTAATGCATACAGTCAGCAGGTAAAAAAAAAATTTGAATATTTAAAATAGGCATTTTCTTTATAGTGCTCTGCGGTAATTAAAATCTTCATTTGCTTAAAAGCAAGGAACCTTTTTAAAGCAATAAATTAGCATTGCTTGACCCAAGGTCACTAGTAGTACTGCTTCTTCCCGTGCTATTAATACCTCAAAGAAAAAGAAGGGGTGGTGTTATCACTCTGTTGCAATAGAAGTAAGATTTTCAATTTAATCACAGTTAAGTGTCATGACCTTTTGATCTTGCATTGACTTCTCACTGAAATGTGGTCAAATTTCAGACAGCTAATTCTAAACTCTGCAAAGTCAAGGTGAAGTCAGAAAATAGGTTTGCCACAATTGCGGGTGTTTTTGATGCAGTAGCAAGTGGTTTCATTTCCTAAGTTTTGTTTCACAGCAAAAACTTTTTAATGGGATCAATAAATTACACAACAATTTCTGAGGAAAAAAAAAATCTTTTTCTATTTGTATTAATTGCAAAAACAGTAATTTGAGGGAATTTTTTTTTTCCTATTTTTCCACACAGGTAAAGGGACCTTTTTTCCCAATCCATAGTGATAGAAATAATTAAGAAGGAAAATACTATTTGACTAAAGCTTCTACTAAGAATAATTTTTGAACCAAAGAGCGATCATCTTCACATAAAGTAGAGTTAATAATGTGTAAAAAATGCAAAACACTCATATTTACACATATCCTTTTATAGGTCATTTTATTATTTTAGGCAAATAAATTGTGTTCGTTGGAGGGTGTTAGCTGGGAGTTTGTAGGACCCATTATTTGCACAAGTTCTAAAGCAGTTCATCCAGTATCTGGTCTCATTTATACCACTGGGTATAAATCAGGGGCAATGCCGTACATTTCAGTGATCTCGTAGTACTGTAACCACTGCGAAAGTATGACGACAATCAGCTCTTCTATCAGTTTTGCAGGTTTTGTTCCAGAAATGTGCAGACAACAATCTTCACGACTTTGTAGGGTTGCTTAGTTACCTTTATATGCCTGCTCGAAAATATGTTTTGAGACTTTACTATGTGTTGGATTAAGGCTCTGGTTTGTATACAACATAGAGGCTGCATTATAAAAAAACATGTAGGAGAGTAGTTTAAATATGCCTTCTCTAAAAAGAAGGATTCTCAAAGCTTAATTTATGCTAACACACACACCAAGCACTCTGTGTAGTGCCGTAAACAAGATTCCCTTTTTTTTTCCTAGCAAAAATATTACCTAGGCACGGGACTTTTGCATTATCATGTCCTAGTGCAACACTCCTGTCCTTAGTTTGTACTCTCAGCCTTTTGAGGAAGTCTGGCGCCTCTGATCTATTTTCCACAGCAGACCCTGTAATTTTTGGCTGTATTTTATGTTTTTCAGATTCAAGTCAATCTGAAAGTCCCAGCCAGCCAAGTGAAGCTGATATTAAGGACCAGCCAGAAAATGGTAAGTTCTTACCTGCTGCTCCTGCTTTGGGATATTAAAACAGCCCATATTTATAAAGATTTTTTTCCTATGTCTAATATAAAAAGATTATTCAGAATAATTGACATGGGATAGCTACAAATAGGTTGTGTACTCTCCTCACAGTTAAAATGCTACTGTTTCACTAATCTAAGGTAGCATTTGTTTCTCCAGTCCTGAAGAGAGACAATTTTTTCCTTTAAAAATAATTTTAATTAGGGAGATGCCATTAAAGAGCCTGCTGTATGCAACCCTTATCCTTATTCCTCCGTAGCAAAGGCTTTCAATCCCTGGGCCGTGAGTCATGACCCCCTAGGGGTGTGTGCTTCATCGCTTTCATTTTTATCTATGTGCTTTTAACTTCATTTTGTTTATTGATGCTCTCACATGACACACTGAAGTACCTAACTTTCGGTATGTGGCCAGCCATCATTTTAGAGTGCAGGATCTCAGATAGTCCCATGAAACAAAATGGTTGCTTTGAAATATGTTTCTGCAGACCCATTCTCTACTGCAAAAATCTGCTAAACAAAACTGCGCAGCAATGCTCCCAAACATTGCCGTTTCAGGGCTGGACTGCACACCTATAAACATAACAGCTGCTCAGGCAGGTACCCACTGTGGGGGTGATACAGGTGCTACTGGCATTGTCTGTATTTTTTATCAATGTGCTTTAAAGGTTGTAGATACTACAAGTAAGCAGGACAGGGATTCTCAACTAGAGCTTGTTGCTCCTTCTGCTGTGTATGTTCGCAATACCATTGTTTCAGGTGGCAGCAGCTTGAGCTTATGTGGAAGTAGCAGCAGGACTGTGACTTTTGGGAACACTAATATTCTTTGTACTGGGACAGTTTTAAAGTAGAAGCAATAACTTCTACTGAACCAATGGCTTGCTTTGTAAAGCAATCTGAAAAAAAAGTCATTCAATAATAGCAAACTTCTGTATGGACTGTATGTGAAAGGATAAGTATGTGTGTGAGGGAACAGCTTCTCTTCCTTTTTATGTTTAAGTAAGGTAGACCTCAACAATTTTTGTTGGCCCATTGGCAACTGAGTTTTGTTTTACTACTTATATTTAGGACTTAGAAATAATGTCTCCCAAAGTGAAAGTGATTATTATTAATAGTTTTTCTTGACTTTTTTTATCCATAACCAGATTTTTTTTTTTTATAAGACCTAGATGTAGATGGGGGATCTGCTGTAGTGGGGTGTACTGTGCATACACAGAAAAGAATTTGTGTGAAGGGTTTTTGTCTCTAAAACCTGTCACCATTTTTGGGATATGTATATCCATCTACGTAGAAATATTGTATCTATAATAACACAACTGTGAGTGCCTTTTCACAGAGCAACTAACTGCTTGTGCCTCAAATCCCTATAGATGTATATGGGTTTAGTGTGTGTTTTGGGGATTTTATTAGCAACTGAACAAGCTGCAAGTGGGAGTGAGGTTGAAGGGCTGCATTCACATCCAGACTGCATTTGGATCAGGGTTTAAACAGCAGATAGAATTAAGGGAAGAAGAAGAGGTTTAGGTACATAAAAGACTTTAAAATACCAGCATATATCATAGGACATACAACATAGGACTCATTGGGTTGGTAAGATTTTGGCTTTTGGGGTTCCTGTATTTTCATCTCATTGAAATATGAAAGGTTTCATATTTTGATAGATTTTGTGCTGCTCATCTCTAAACATACCATCGTAAAACATTTCTGTTGTTTCTGAAAGACAGTGCCTAATTTCCCGTATCAAACCTGTTCACAGAAATTCTAATTTGTAGCCAAAGGATTGCGAGGTTAAGAGCAGAACTGACTAAACTGTGATTTTTGTTCTGCCAATTCTGCTATTTTTTTTGTGGGGAATATGTTGCCTATGTTTATTAAATCATATTTTAATTTAGAATGTATTAGGCACCAAGCATGTTATTATTTCGTGTTTAGATAATTTTCTTTTGCGTTCAGATAATATTCTTTCGCAGCTATTAAACCACAGTTCTTCTTACCCCACAGTTTCTTTGTTTAATAATGTAAAATCTGTAAGAGCCTAGTGAAATGAAATATCTCTGATTTGGAGCCTGAGTCTTCCTTGTTAAACAAGCTTTTAGTGAATTCTTGGAACTTTACTGGTGACCTGCAAAAGGTACTTTTTTTTTAATAAACAGGAAAAGGATTTTGCTTTTTCTCAGTTTTACTAAAGGGTATTTTTCCCCACCACAGCAGAAGCCTCCTAACTGATTACACACCTTTTGCAGTGCCTGTGTGGGAGATTTTCTTTACAAATGCATCTAACGCAGTCTCTTGGCCCTAAAGGGTTGCTCCCCCTGGGCAGACGCTGAGCTCATTCTCAGCACACACAGCCCCCAGCTTGCAGTGTACCCAGTGTGTAGATCAACACAGATCTGCAGCTCTTATCTACTGAACGTGAGGATGAAAGCAAAACTGCAGGCTTTAGAAAATGAAAAACTGCACGCACAGAAACGGACACAATAAATCATATTAACTGCGTTGTTCTACACTTGCTGTAGACCCACTTCCACAGGGCCTGATCCAAATCCCTCCGGAGTCAATGGGAGTCTAGTAATTGATTTTACTGAGAGTGGGAATGAGCCCACACAGAGAGGAATTTTTTTTTTTTAAATCAGAGAAAAATAGTATTGTGTATAATCTTATTCCCACTGACGCTAACAGCAGAATGACCAGATTGAAGGCAGATTTGGAATCATTTTGCATGTGTTTCTCGAAGGCACAAAGAAGTGTATCGATTAAGTACTACCTTTTACATGCATGCATTCCTTCATTTTAAAAAAATAAATCTTTAAAGGCCTTGTGAGGGTTATACAGCCTCTCTACTTGCCTGTTAATATCCTTTCTGTTCCACTCCATAAATTCTAGAGCTATTTATTATACACATATATTTTGCATACCTTGAGTAATGTAGGTTCAAAAGGGTCAACTATACAGCCCTGAAAAAGAAGGCCTCCTACTACAGATTTTAATTTATCATTTTAAATTGTATGTGTTATTTTGGAAAGCCTGTATGTCTAACCTTTATTAAAGTGAAGTTCATGGGAAAAAAAGCTTTTCTTTTTTAGAGCCACTCCTTTTTTCTAGTAGGCTTTACAGTTGCATTTTCTGGAGCAGATTCATCACAAACAGAGAAGATGGTGACATCTTCTGCTCTCAGTGGTGGCTTTAACACCAACTCTAGCCTTTTCTTCAGCCTTCATTAAGCCAGAATAGTTTTCAAGCAGTCACTTACCCGATCACCATTGCAAAAATTTACAGAAATATTAAGCATTTATTTTTTTCTAGCGAGAGAGAGATATCCAGCATAATGGTCATGAAAAGCAAACATGCAGGAGAGACAGGGCTCTTTCGTGCATGCATGGTCCAAGGTCCAGATGTCTTGTCCTGGAACTGGGGGTAAAGCTAACATAGAACCGAACGGTGCGCATGGTGCTGCTGTCTCTCAGGTCCGTTAGCATGGGAAAGAGCTTCTCGGGGAGAGGAAGAAAACCCAGAGTTTGTCTGTTTGTTTTGTGGGTGAGGAAATTTGCAGGAGGGATGATGAAAGAGGCCAGCAACTTCATTTGAAAGGCAGGAGCATGTTCCGATGTCCTGATATTTTTCTCAAATGAGTTTTTTTTCTGACCAGCTGGGTGGAACACCCGTGTGGAAAATTCCCCACTTTTGTAGTTGCCTAATGGTATGTAAAAGCTTCATTTCAATTGGCACCGCAAAGTGATTTTGCAATTCACCCAATCAAAAAAAAAGGTTATTGATTTTAAAAGCTTGTTAAATGCACTGGTTTGGTGTTGTATTTTATAAACAAACTAGTTTTCAGTGAACTGAGGGTGACAAAATGGCTAGTCTGATGTAGTGAAGTGACTGCATGCCTGGGGATCAGGAACAACTGAATTCCCAGCTCAGCACTGCCGTGGACTCTCTCTAGGGCTTTTATTCTCTCATTCAGTCATGGAAATGGCTATCGGATAGATTTTCTTTTTGTAAGTAGGATTATTTTAAACTTTTGTAGGAAAACTTTTCAGTCTTTTTATCTGCAAAGTGGGGATATTTGTGATTCTAGCTTTCAGAGATTCATAGAATATTAAAAGTCAAATCCTGCTCTGCACCAGCAGGAGTTCAACTCTGGAGAAAGGCAAGGAGGGCGTAGCACAAACTGGTTAATAATTGTGGTACAGCGCTGTGTTACTGCTGTCAGTAAATGGTTGTCAGACATCCACCAGGCGATGTTTGTGTTTGATGTGGTAGTACTGGCAAATTAATAACTGCAGCATAAAGGTACACATGAAGTGTGCTGTGTAAAGCAGAAGAACGCTGTGTCATTTTCTACAGACAACTGATGTCTCTCGAGCATGTGGCACTGTGATTTGATAACGCAAATTTGGTAGCACACGACTTTAATTGTGGATTAGCAAATTCTTTTTAAAGAAGTTGGTAAATTCTCCTATTTCAAGTGAGCAAGACAGCACTCGTTATTACAGCTGATTACAAATGTGTGCCAAATTCATTGCTCAAACAATTTCTGTAGAGGGAGAGGCATTTATCTAAAAAATAAAAATCTTTAATGCCCAAACCAAATGCTTTTTAGTTTTAATGTATTCTTGCTGCTTTGAGCTGCAAGTACCTTAACAGCACTGCAGGAAATGAAAGGCACATTGTTCTTTGTAACATTAAAAAAAAAAAGAAAAAAGAAAAACAATGATGTACCATAACTCACAGAACTCGTTTTTCAACCCTGCAGTAATTACACTGGACTTGTAAATATCATCTGTGAATTCTTTGCTTAAGTAGGGCTGGACTTGAGTATTAAACCTCAAAAAAATGTTTAAGGATATGCTTACTTTTCCATGCCTAAAAACATAAAAAAGAAGAAACTCGGGTCCTCAAGCTGTGGGCGAAAGAGAAGGCAATAGTGGGAACATATGCAAAGAGAAGTTTCCTTTTCTTCTTCTCTAG